AAGCAAAGTGAAGGACAAGGGTCTGGTTTTTACCAGGCCAGATCAGACCTCAAGTTAGAAGAAGCCAATCTGTTAAAAAGAAAATGAAACACCCTTAGTTACTATGGATCATTTAAAAAAATACACACATTCCCTTTTAACATAAAAGTTAGAGTATAGTTTGATTAATTCATTTCCTTCTAAATAAAAGTAAATTAAAACTACTCTTTGTATTTTTATTTAGTCAAGGCCAGCTAGTGACATAGGCAGTGCAGGCAAACACTAAGAGTGCTGTCCATCTGGGAGGCACCACAGATGGAAGATGAAAAAAACATTGTAGCTTTTATAGTTGTTTTAGTCTGCAGAATAATCCCCATTTTGTTGCTCAGGTTTATGATTTCTCAGTCTGCTTTGTTGTTTGATGTTATATTGTTCTTTTAAATTTTTGTTTTATTTTATTTTATTAAAGTTTATTAATAGGGACAATGTGCAAATAAAACATTATTAAAAGATGCTTCACACCAGATTTAGCTTAAGCTAGTTTCCATCTGTAGTCCCTGAACAACAGATGTTTGAACTAAAATCAAACATACAGTCCATACATGTCCTAAATGTAATCACTATGTGCAATCACAGTCATAAAAACAAATACCAAACTTTTGTTCCATAATTACTAATCAGACACTGCTGATTTTCTAAGAACCTTTTCCTAACATGAGTAAAGTTCCTTAGGTCAGCTAACTGTTTTAAATGGACAACGTGGTTTCTAAAACAAAACAAAAATAATAATACTAATATCAAAAACAAAACTATTTAATTTGGTGTGGTAATGTATGTAAATTGTCAGTGAGATGTTGAAAATTGCACAAGGGGCACCACCTGAAACCTTGCCTGGGGCACCAAATTGGCTAGGACCAGCCCTGCATTTTAGTGTTTGTCTTCTGTAAACTCCCGGAGCAGACATGAGCAACACGTGAACAAAAGCCTCGTTGGAATTCCTCCTGTGTGGTCGCTGAATCGCTGCGAGGTGCTGSGCTCCGTGAAGCCGTCAGGAGGCGCAGAGCGGACCTTTGACCTCGCTGTTTAACTGTTGCACATGAAGCTGGGAACGCTTGTGGGCTGCACCGCTTCACAGATCAACACGAAGAAGAGAAAAAAACGAAACCTCCTCACACCCCCTCATCTCCCAGCATCATCTAACTGCCAMCTTCATCACCTCAAAGACAACTGGAGCCGGGATGATTCATCTGAACTGACTCATGCCTGTCACCTGCTTACTCTCTCCAGTTTGGCAGCAGACAATTAAATCAGAAAAGAGAATTGCTTTAAGTCTGGAATGGAAGACATTGTGAAGGACTCGCCAGCTGGGTTCTTGGAGGAACGTTGTTCTAAGTTTAACTTTATCGGAAGTTGCAGCTCAGYGACAAGACTTGACGAGTCCGTTAGTACGCAGACAGATACTTTTGAAAGAAGTAAACTCTTACCTCCAGAAGGCCTTTGAGGATGTGATTCAAGTGTTAAGTTCTTGAAGTTGCAGAGAGAAGAATGTGGGAGGTTAAATTTGGAGTGCTTTGTCTCTGGTGCAACTGTGTTGCCTCCCTCTGCTCCTATGGAGGCAGGAGGTGAGTCACAGCACAGCTCATCCTGCCACGGGAGCTCCWGGATTCTTGGACGAAGAGAGGCTCCAGGCTCTGACTCCAAACACCAGGCACCTGAGGGACAGAATAGTTTACTGAACAGTTATCACATTTATCAAAGGTAGGGACATTTACATACCAAATAACTTTGGTATTAAACACAAATGCTTTGTTTTTCTTTGAAAATCAGCCTTTTTTTAAATGAATATGTTGTTATCAACAGGCTGTCATCAGCATAGATGAAACCATCCCTCACTCATAAAAATGACTCGTTGGATGAACTCAATTAAATTGTGGGCAGGTTTTCCATCTAATACATTTGTGTTTCTCTAATTTAAATAAATTAAGTCCATTCAATGTAATTTTATATTTGATAATGTATATTAAACATTATCCATGGATCGAATGTAAAGTACTACAGTTTGACCAACAACTAAACTTCCATATTTTCTTTAATCTTTTTAGATCTGTTAATGTTTCCATAACCCAATGTATTTTATTTAATTACCTTTAAAGCACTTCACTATATCCTTTCCAAAATCATYTAATTTCCAATCACAATTAACTTGATCCCCCACTTTGTACATGAAACAAAACCTGGTAATAATATTTATATTTAAAAGCAGGTTCAGAAATGACAACAAAATAGTGTTTGGTCACMACATGCACCAAAAATGGGCACTTTTCTTTTACAGCTCCCTCAAGGTGTCAAACGCGGTCATGAATCCTTGATGATGTTTTACAGCTGGAAACTCACCATGAGATATCAGAACGACCTGCATCAGGACAGACAACATGGCTGGCCAAACCCTGTMAAGACAAACACGAGCAAATGCTTTGACTAGAAGAAAAAGAGAATGAAACACGAGAAACAAAAATACAGACAAGACATGAAAACAGATTTAACTTMGACAAACAAAATTTTGAATGATCAAGGAGAATAGGCATATAAGATGGATATGTTTAGAGAATTTTAATTTCCTGCAAAAATACTGTGAATGTCTAATGCTAAAAGATTTGAGCTGAATAGCTAAAAAAGCTAAAACTAGCCTAAAATAAGAAAAAAAACAGTAGCTGAAACTAGAACAAACAGAAAGTGYACTTTTTTTGTTTTTAATCATGTTTGATATCTGTAGTGTCTGAGTTTTTATAAATGTGCTATAC